GAAATCTGAAAATAAAAGCAGCTCACAAGTCCATTCACATAACTGGACATTAATGCATAATAAAAAGGCACAATGGCAGTGTTATTAAAATGAATGATAGCGCTGTTTGTGGCCGGTCTACTTGCAATCATGTATGAGGATCATTACATGAAGCTGAGGAGCTTAAAAATACAGCTTGGAGACATTAAGTGGTATAGTGATAAAAGCAGAATAAGGAAGAGTACCGCTTTAATGGGAACTTTTTTAAACACGCTGAATACTGAATTTACCCTCACTCAATATTTTGCATATTTGCCCAAACAATAGCTTTAGTCCAAAAATATAACAAACTGACACCAAAGATTTGATTTTTCAGCAATTCCTTTAGACGGGAAGCTTGGAAGCGGGGAAAAAAAAGAAAATTGTACTACACTGATGCACCTCCACTACTCTTAACCTTACATTTTCACCTGTCTTCAAAAATCACTCAATTTCTCATAAAACACATTTTTTGAGGGTTTCCTTTAACTCCATCTGATCCCAGTAACAATACAGCTTTACCTTGCTCAGTTACTGTCCTGAACCCTTAAAAAAGTGTTTCCACTTTAAAAAAAAAAGTGCAATTGTGTGAAAGAGACCTCTACACTATACGCCAGTAGTGTTAAAACAAAAGGGAGACTTCGCTTTCCCAGTAGTATTTATGTCTTTAATTTAGCCTTTTAGCCATCAGTGCTAAACACTCTGAACACTATTAATAAACCATCGGACCCAGTGCTTTGTGCACAAGTGCATTCATTACACACTTTTTGCACACTCTCGAGAGGTATCTGAGATATAATAATTTCTAGCACCAGAGGGATTGTTTTTCCTAATTGACAGCCATCTTAGATCCATTAGTACACTGCTGTCAGTATACCCGGCTTTGATCTGTGATGTCAGCTGGATCAATTTCAATGCTTGGCAAATATGCAAATAATTCCGTAGCAGAGACGTGTCAAAGGCACTCAGCATATGCTTGCGCTAAGACACTGGCTGTCTCTCGATAAAAAGAAAGAAGGGGGTGGAAGAGAGCGTGAAAAGGGCTTTCTCTTTTTTTGAGAAAAAATAAACCGACTTTGAGATTCAACAACGGCTAGATGGGGAGCGAAAAAAAATCATCTTAATATGACACAAGAGGCTTACAAGTCTCAGCATGCGCACAGGCGAAAGAAGTATCATGGGCCCACAGCCTCTCTGTGCATAATAATGTTTTGAAAAATCGCACGCCGCTGTTTGCTTTTAAAAACCTACAGAGTGCAGCGGCAAAAGGAGAGTCTCTTACTGGAGGCGCAAGGCGGTTGACAGAGAGCATTTGTCTTTATTTGCTGGGCTTCACCCTGATTTACCGCACGGTCTGCTGGAAGAGGAGAGCCCCTAGATTAGACGCTAACGGACTTCTCAGGACACTGTCCAAAATGCTATTTTGCCTGGCGTGAGAGTGGCCAGCTGTGTCTTGACCACATGTAAATGACGGCTTTGTTGCTTTTTAACTCGGGCCGCCCACTGCATCCTCTCTATGTAAACAAAAAAGTTGCAGTCGCTTAGGAGGATACAGTAACAACAAGAGAGACCTGAGGGGCTCTACATTTCCCTGAAGGAAGCAACATGGTGTAAATCTCCTAGCAAAGATGACGGGTATTCAAAATACTACATTAATCAAAACACTTAAAGGGATAGTTCACCCAAAAATGAAAATTCTATCATTTACTCACCCTCATGCACTGTAAAAAATTGGTGTATAAACAACTTTCACTCAGAAATTGCTAGTAAATTTCAGAAACAGTTACAAAGAAAAAGCAAGTAACACATTGAATTGAATGTGAAATGTTGAAGTAGAAAAACTGAAATAATATTTTCTGAAAACATACTCAAATAATTGTTTTTATTTACTTTTATTTATTAAGTATATTGAAAAATCTTCTTTGAGAGTGTATTGTTACAAACCTATAAGAATTTCTTCTATGGAACAACACAAAAGATTATATTTTGAAGAACATTTGGGAACAAGCAACATTGACTTTAATTTTATAGAGAAAAAACAATCCCCCAAAGAAACTATCAGGTTTGGAATGACCAAAAAAAAAAAAAAGATTTTAAATTTTTGGCTGACATGTAACTAACAAGCATCCTGTGCATGTGTTTTTAACGATAACCACCTCAGATCTGCATGCTTCCCATAAAAGCTGTTTTTATTGTAATATTCATTATTTTTTTATGTTTTTATTATTTAAAAAAATTATTTCACAAGTGTCAACAGAGTGATCACAATCTCTGCTAACACTTTTATGCAAGAAAGTTACAATTAATGTCACCATATTTTACTTATTAGTCGCCTTCACACGTCTGTTGCCAGTAAATTGAAAATGAAGTGTAAAATGAAAACGACCTGTAAAACTATTCAACCCTGACCAGCGGGCACATACCACTCATATCTCTAACTTTTCTCAGCAATGAGGAGGAAAGTATATGTTATATAGAAGTGGCCTTCCTGACAGATTTTCTCAATGCTTCCACCAGCAGACACCATCCATTGAAATTTGTATGAAATGCAACCACCCCAGAATCTTTTTAATGTCACTTGCACTACATCACTTCTGACAGGCCGCCACACTTACCATAAGAACACACTCGCTCTTGCTCTCATACTTTCGTCTTGATAATGTTGGTAACTATTTGTGACCGTGTATATATCAAAAGGCCATCCAAAACGGCTTAGATGTTAGATGTTAGCCTGATTGATACAAATCTCATTTGCATGCATGCATGCAATCACATGTGTATTGTGACATGAACATAAACCAGGTTGCTTTGAAAGAAAGTCTTCACTGCGAGCGAAAGATAATCATACAACATGTCCTGCATTGTTATAGCCTGACCAGTGATTAACATTAAATATGATCCACGTAAAACCTCATCTGCTTGGCCACCAGACGAGATGAGATTGTACTCAATGCAGGGAGCTGCAGTCTGTGATGCTGAGCGACAGATGCTAGATAAGTCTATCCAATCACATATACAAATGAGGTCTATAATTCAGTTTTATTTTGATCGCTCATCTTTGCCTACAGAACCCCAACACCCAAATATTGTGAGCCATATAGTGGCTAAGTCAATAAATAAATCAAACAAGGAGCAAAATATAAGGAAGCTATGACTTTTAACATGTGATGCAGAAAGTAAACCCTTCAAGGGAAATAAATAAATAAATTCTGAGTGGTTTATGGAGTTTGTGGACAGCAATAATCAGTAAATCCGGCCAGATTAAGCGATGGAGGGACAGTGAGAGCGGATTAATAAACATCTGCGGAGGCACTAGTCTCCAACATGACGCTCTCTATCCGAATCAAACCCAGAGCATATCAGATCATTAAACCCAGCGCAACATGTCTCAAAGCATCGGTAATGCACACCCGTCCTGACGTTAATGCGCTCTGTACACAACCCAACACCAGCTGTTTCAGTAAGGAAGATCAATTCGAGCAAGCTTTGAAAAGTCAACAGTGATGATAACTTTCACAGCAAACATCAAGATGCTTGTCACTTTCACTTGATTAAAAGTGACAAACAAACATTTACTTTTTGAAATAAACAACTAGCTTTAGTATATGTAGAAAATTAAATATCATGAACAACGTGATGAACATACACACACACTATATATATAGTACATGTTAATTTATACTATACAGTGTATATACTGTATATGTTCATCATCAACAGCAAAATACAAGTGAAAAGTCACATGATAGTCTCCACGTGATTGGCTGATCACACTGTCAGCTGGATAATGTTATCGTAGCAGGTGCAAAAACCGGCCTGAATGTGTCAAACTAGTGAAAATGGGCAGACTCGTTACAGAGTAAACAACTCACCCACTCACATATCATATCTGTCATCAACTTGAAATGACTTGAAACACAAAATGATCTGTGAGTGATACAGTTTTTAGTTAATAAACTAAAGGTTGCCGCCATCATAACACCTGCAGTGCTTACTGAGGATATGATGAATAATGATCCCAAAGAAGGTCACTTTTAGCAATAACAACCAAACATGAGTTTGAATTAATAAAAATATACAAAGTATTCTTGCTAGTTTTCTGCAGTAGTAAAATTACTTTTGAAGCAATGCAAAACTTAAAAAAATGTTGTTCATGAGAATTGGTTTTATACATGGTTTTATACATAGCACATACAAATAATAAAAAATGAATACAAATATTTTTATTTAAATTATGTTCCAAATAAGAAATGAGCAATGAGCCCAGTAAACATAACACTGGAACAATAATGGACCAAAACGACTGCAGAGAAAGGACTTTGCAGAGTAACCACATCACTACTATATATACATATATATATATATATATATATATATATATATAATTACT